ATCCAGGAATTTAAATGCACTGTGTTAATTCACTTTGCATAGTCCTACAAGGCAAGTTCTGTCTTTCTTTGAAAGCCTGGAGTTTTAAACAATCAAATTGCACTAGGATGGAGTTTATTAGATTGATTTTCAATGCTCTTTTAATAAGCAGAGTCTATGAGTTGTTTTGCCTCCCTGAGTTGTGAGATGTATGTTCTTTGTAAAAAGTCAGAGAGGCTCTTTTAAAATCCTGGTCCAATAGGAGTAAAGCAGATACATGCTCCTTCTCCAGCTAGCATCACAATCTCTCACTCTACAAGTGCTATCTTGAAGTAGCATCCAATGGCTTTGTATTTCTTCCAGTACCTATAGCAAATCCAGATTCTAATACTTCAGCTTTAGTCAAAGGCTTGGTCATTGCCCTGATGCAGGATGATGGCCCATCTTCTGAAAATGTATTGATCAGATTTCCTGGGAGTTTTGTTTACCCAGCAACATTATAAACCTTCAGTGTTAGTACTAAATGTCATGAAGAGAGGCATCTTGTTTTATCAATATCTTTCTGTAACAGTATTGACTGTTCAGTTTGTACAACTGAAACGTGGGGCTGGAAATAATTCTATCATTTACCCTTCATATGTACATTGAGTCATTGAATGCATTATTGCTGGCATTGGATTATCCTCGGTTATTATAAAAGTCAAAGTGACTGTAGCTCTGGAAAGCTTCTTTGACAGTGAGGTCAGGCAAAGATGCAAGACTGGACCATGGCTAGACTCCCTGCAGATGTAAGTCAGCGCAGCTTCATTGGCTTGTTTATTATCATATCAACTTAATTTTCTCAGCTGCCATCTCAGATGTGGTGAGATGGCAGGACCTCCCCCTTTCCGACTGGGCTGGTATATTCAAATTAGCATAAAGCTTGAGCATCTTATTGTTGATTAGTTCAATTTATTATATTAAACCAAGTTAAATAGCAACAAAATGCGTTTTGTGCAAAACCAACATTAATGTTAGAAAATCATACTTCTCTTATGCAGTAGTGAGCCTCCTGAGCTGGACCTTCAATGCACTGTACCTGTGGTCACTCCATTGTGGCTTTGTTGATCTCAGTGCTGCCAAACTGTTTTCTGCCGGTGCTGTGTCTGGTCCAGAGCATTACAGTATCACCTGTAGCAAAATCACTGAACAGGTTCAAGTTGTCCCTCTTGAACTGAATTTTCAAGCTGCTTGGCTGTTCTGATATTCATTTCCTCATGAGATGAATACTTCAGAGCAGAATACCACAGTTTTTTCTTACCATATATCTTTTAGGAATTGGTACATTTCAGACTGTTAATTGAAGTCTGTGATATATTGGCCATTTAAGGGGATTGCAGTCTTGAGTGATAAGTTTAATGGATGATAGTTTAAAAATCTTTAGATGTAAAACCTTTTCGTTTACCAAAAGTAGGTTGTGAAATTCATCCCAAGTTACCACAGAGACTAAGAGGTCAGCAGATTTCAGAGGAGGGTGTTTTTCAGGTATTCAGATTCATTATAATAACTAGGAATCACCCTAGACTTGGGTTTCATGGAGAACTGAGGCACTTGTGTTTCAGAACTGAACCAAACTTTCTGCATTTTGTACACTTAGAAAACTGTGTGTGTTATCCCAGTGCTGTTTAACACAGTTTTCCCTCCAAAGCATACAGTATTTGGGCACTACAGGAGTCCTGCATTTGTGTGGCCTTAATCAACCACAACTCCATGGGAGTGCAGGCTTTGTTACATTTGATATGTTTTGTAAAGACATACTGTATTTATGTTGTGCTGCTGACTCACACTTTGAATGTATTGGGTGATTTTAGGTATTTGGTTATCAGATTATGCATATTACACAAGTGGTGATGCATGTAAAATCAGTTGAAATAATGAACACTATGAAAGGAGAGGAGTCAAGAACAGGACAAGGGGCCAAAGAACCACTTAAAAATAAGTAGTTGGGTATTTTTTTAATTACTATTATTATAATTTTATTATAATTTAGCTTTTGTATTCAGGGGCTAACTAACCACTATAACTTGTTCATTGCCTTTTTCTAACATTCCCTCTGACCTCCTAAATCTGCAAATACCAAAAAAAATTAATTTATGGAGCTAAAATGCAACTTTTTAATTTCTTTGTTCAATCCTTTAGGCATACCCTGTGGCTCAACCTTTTGTCTGAAGGTCAAGAGAGTTTTATTCATCTGACATAAGTAGCTTGAGTGTGGCATTTATAACTTGAGTAATGTTATGGATG